CGCCGGGGCGCTGGCGGAATTCCCAAGGAATGGTCTTTTCCTCCCTCCCCGGGCTGTTTCGGTCAGTTGGATGCGGCGTGTGGGACACCCATGTCCCCGCCGGTGGGTGACGTGTCGGTGTCAGGGGGAGCTGGGGCTCTGCCCTCCCCAATTCTTACGCCGTCTTTTGTGTCGCGCAGATTGACGAGATGCCAGAAGCTGCAGTAAAATCCTCCTCCAATAAATACCAAGTCTTCTTCTTTGGGACCCACGAAACGTGAGTGGGGCCCCGGCGTGTGTGGGAGACGGGGCCGAGGGGGGCACTGATGGCCCCAGTGGTTTTGGGGAGAGGTGAGACCCCCCGTGCAAGGAGAAGTTTGGGAAACCCAACAAACGGAAAGGGTTCAGCGAAGGTTTGTGGGAGATCGAGAACAACCCCACCGTCAAAGCCTCCGGCTACCAGGTGGGTCCCAAGCTGGGGGGTCCCCGGCACCTCACATCCTCCTCCGGCCGCCTCCTTCCCCCCCATTCCCCCTTCCCGTGTCCCCCTCTGTGAGTCCTCCGTGTGCCCTCCAGCCCACCCAGAAAAAGACCTGCCCCGAGGATGCCGAGCCGGAGCGAGAGCCGGAGGGCGACGGGGAGAAGAAGGGCAACGCGGAGGGCAGCAGTGATGAGGAGGGGAAGCTGGTGATCGACGAGCAGTCCAAGGAGAAGAACGAGAAAGCCGGGATCAAGAGGAAAGCAGAAGATGTTTTGGAGGTAGGTGGACAGGGGGGAGGGGGACATGGGTGAGAAGGGGTCCGGGGCTGGGCTGAGCCAAGCTCCCCCTGCCCAGGACTCCCCCAAACGTACCAAGGAGGCGGAGGGGCAGGAAGGGGAGAAGAAGGTAGACAACGAAGAGACACCCAAGGAGGAGCCGAAACCCAACCTGGCCGAAGGGGAGAAGAACAGCGACGCCGCCGGCATGCAGGACGCCAACGAAGCCAAGCAGGAGGGCAAGGAGAAGGCGGGTGCAGAGGAGGTCAGAGACCACAAGGAGAGGTGAGGGTGGTGCGGTGACCCCCATCCCCAAGAGCCGGGCTCCTCCCTGCCCACCCCGGGCACGGGGGAACGTCCCCGGCGGTATGGAGACGGGGGTCCCGGTGCCACGGGGTCCGTGACCAAGCGCCCGGGTCTCTTCTTGGCTCCCGCAGCCTGTAGCGGCCTCCCCGGTGAGCTGATCTTCCCACCTTGCCCCTTCCCCGCTGGGCTCCCTGGGTGCTGCCCCGTCTCGCCGTCATCGGCTCGTCGCGTCCGCAGCTCCGGACAAGAGAAACAAACCGAAAATGAAATTTAAAAAAGAAAAAGAAAAAAGGAAAAAAAAAAGAGAGAGAGAAATGAAGAGAAACCTGGTAACACGAACCCCTGAACCGACCCGCATCTCCCGGCCCCGCTGTCGCGGGCGCATGCTTTGTATTAGTGATTTCTAGGGGGCTGATCAGTTGATTTGAAATAAAAGCAATTCATGCCTTTTTAAAGCGCTTCCACCGGCGTCTCCATGC